TTAAAGTAGTCATTAAAATACCTTGTAAGTTAACTGTTAATAAAGTTTCATATATATATACATATATATATATGTATATATATATATATATATGCAGAGAAATTTCGTAAGTTTTATAGGATTAGTAAATTAATGCCTGTATTTATGTGGCAGTATTATGCACAGGACTTAATCAATGGAGAGAGGCCAGCTGATACTGCGTAGCACTGCAGTTATGAACAAAGAAATACTGTATTGATACACTGTAAACTTTTAAACTTTGACACAAGCAAAAGCAATTTTAAATTAAAATTTAAATCAGCTTTGAGATTTTTCTGAGCTTTATTTATCAATCATTGACAAGGGGTACAAAATAATGTAGAAATTGCTTACTCCATTACTGTACAGGTACTGTTTCTTTGTGTGCTGTAGCTATTCTGGCGTATATCTGAGCCAAGTAAATATATGAACAGAATGTACGTATGTAAGAAATGGAAATAAATTAAGTAAGTCTGAAGTTCTGGAAGTCATGAAGTGTTGGTTAATTTTGATCACCAGCTTGATTGAATCTATAATCAACTAATAGACATTACTCCGGGACTGTATGTGAGGGTGTGTCCGGGAGGAATACCCTTCTCCGGAAGGAAACCCTTCTCCAGAGTGAGCAGTACCTGTGCACAGTGCCCCAAAACAAAGAAGTCCAAGGATAAAACAATGTTGCATTTGCCTGCCCAGCTTCTGTCCCTCCAGTGAGTGTATCTATGCTGTTGCTACTACTATGGTGGCCACACTTCTCTGCCATTGGAACCCAGCTTGTCTTTTAAATGTAGATTAAAGAGCAGTAGCTCTCCAGGAAACTTCCAGACCTTTAGCTCCAGTTTGGGGGTGCTGACACAACTAGCCTCAGACATCTAGTGTCACCTTGATAGACTAAGCAGCTCTTGAGCTCTCAGTCCTTCCAGTGTGCAGACAGCATTGCTGGACTACAAATCCCGTACTGTGTAAGCCAATCTACTATATTCCTTTTGGTACATAGGATAATTCTCTTCGTTCTGTTCCAAGAGAATAGTGACCAATACATCCCACAATCTCTGATAAGATTAAAAAGCAATTTACCTGCCTTCTATTCTTTTTTTGTTTTTTTGTTTGTTTGTTTGTTTGTTTTCCGAGACAGGGTTTCTCTGTATAGCCTTGGCTGTCCTGGAACTCACTCTGTAGACCAGGCTCGCCTCAAACTCAGAAATCTGCCTGCCTCTGCCTCCCAAGTGCTGGGATTAAAGGCGTGCGTCACCACTGGCCAGTGCCTTCTATTTCTAATCTAAGAAAGTTACAATAGGGCCTGTAAGAAACTTGAGCAGGGTCCAACAAGACATTCTGGGGGAAATAACTGGATTATTTTGTATTAAAGTGCTAAAATTATGTCTAAAACTCTATACTCATTTTCAGAAAACCTAGGAAAAACACATTATCTCAAAATCTGCCAGTAGCTTATATGAAACAAAATAAAGGGGATTTGAGTTTGTCGTGAAGAAAACAAAACCGCTATCCGTGACAATTCAGACAGATCTTTTTCACATAATTGATGAAGTAGGCCAAGCAGGGGGGAAGCATTCTTCTTCATTCAGCATGCACATAATACGGAAGCTGTTCAAAACTATCAATATTACAGACTAAAATGGAAATAATCGAGTGAGATAATACAATAAAATGCACTCTAAGAGTATGCAAAATAGAAAATATAAATTCCACTTTTGAAATGTTGAGTTCAATATGGAGTCCAAGTTGATGCCAAAGATAATTCTGTAGTCATCCTCGAAGTGTATATATATAATATGTATATATATGTGTGTGTGTGTGTATCTATGTTTATGTATATGTATATCATATAAGTTATCATATACAGTTCAGTGTACTGGATTGTGATATAACATGTTTCTTTTCAGTAATAACTGAAAAGTATTTTTAGGCCAACTTGAAGATCTATTAATCTATAAGCATCTAAATGTCTACATATTTATCTTCCTTTTACCATTTCATCCATCCATTTATCCATATATCTAGCCATCTCCCGTATTCAGGAGGTTTTCCATCCTCCTGCTTTTAAATGTCTTCCCCTGTCCCTGTTGGAATAAAGATCTGATGGGTATAAATTCTCCCCCTTTTCTGCACAAGATGTACTTTTTTTTTTAATTAGAAATAATTATCATGGAAGAATCCAAGCTAGTTTCTTTATAACAAATTTCTTCATAAGTTTATAACATAAGTCTCTTTAGTGAAATGTAATCTGATCTCTATTGTCACATAAAATTTACTCTTTAACTTCATCAATACAAAAGTAGCCCAAGTTCATTTGCAACTCCCAACCACTATTAGTCACTGCCTGTTTTCTTCCTTCTAGACTGACTCTTGAGAGAGTAGCATAATTCATTTTTTAGCGTAAATATTGTTCGTTTTGTCCAGCTAAATAGATCTTCCTAGATTTTATATTATATATCTGAACTCTAAAATAGTGCAAATAAATAGCAAGCACATATTCCTCTTCAAATTATTGTTATCTATCCTATTTTACAGATCGGAAGATTGATAAAGATGTTGATGTCTTGTCCACTAGAGTTCAGCTCTAAAGAACTTGGGCTCAAGCCTCCCGGTGTTCCTTAGCAGTCCTATAAAACCATGGGGGGGTGGTTATTATGGATTCAATGTAAACAAATACTGAAGTATAAAGAGTATCAGATGAAACCAATGTGATTAAAAGGTACAGCTCTTGGTAGAATGAATTGGGTATTGAGAGCAAAGCCTTCATAGATAAGATTGGTACTTTTATAAAAGTAGTATTACAGAACTGCTTGAACATAAAAACTGGCACTTACCAGAAATCTGTTGTCAACCCTATGTTAGACCTTCCAGACTTCAAAATGATAAGGGAAAGAAAACACAACACATAGTCTATGAATATGTTATGATAATCAAATATGGTAAGACAGAGAGGCATTGGGTTTCAGAGAATGCCCAGTCCCAAACTTCCTATACAGATAGGTATTATTGTGTTTCAGTTTGATGAGGGAAAAATACTCCATTACATACAGTCATCCACACATCCACACAAACACAAACACACATAGATACATACATACATATATTTTCTTCAATCTTCTAACCTGGCAGGAAATCAAAAAACAAACAAACAAAAAAAGTAGGGGTATGCGAACAGAACCAAGAAAAGACCATGTCAAAAGGGACAACAGAGGAGGAGAGGTGAGAAGAAACCTGTATGGAGAGTCCAGAGCTGGGAGAAGAACTCAATCCCTGTGCCATTCATATTCAAAGTTGTAGATATAACAGGCACAACCAGGAAGGAAGGAAGACTGGACAAAGTGAAGAGAGCCTGCTAGTGAGTACATATGGCTGTGAACCTGAGACTGGCTGAATCACAGGCTAGCCAGAGTGTGGATAAGCAGTGTGTCCTAAAGGTGTGGACTCCCTGAGCTTCCTCTCTTAAAGACTGATGGAGAGAGCTCCAAAGATTCTTCTGAGCACTTTATAAACTTACATCATTGTTATAAATTCCAGTTGACTAAATTCTTTAATTTAAATGTAATTATAGTATATCCAAACTTTATAGACCCATAAGGATTAAGCAGAAATGCTTTGGATGAACAAGACCAATTTATTATAAAACAAAACATCTCCTCCATGAATCAAATGGGCAACAGCTGTCTGGTCTTTAAAAGGAATTATCTCTTTTGTTCTAAGATTAGCAGGGCTGCAGAGGAAAGGAGGGAATTAACTATCATTATCAGTTCAAGTCACCCGGTAATTTCTGCAATGAAATAGCCCAAGCATATTCAGAAATTATCATGAAAACACTCAGCTTTCTAGGTGAATTATTATTGAATTTATATTAACCCCTGGGCTAAGTATCTAGGGAACTTTTTTTTTCAAGTTGCTAATGTAAAAAGATACGCTGCTGATCTCTTAGTCTGATCACATCCAGGGAGAGTTATTTGCCCCCGGGGTCTGAGCTACATTGTAATAAAATCAAAGGACATAAAAGCTGTGGCAGGAACAGTGCGGAAATTGGAGAAACCTCATTATGAATGGCAACAAGTATGGAGATGCATATGTACGAGCGTCACAGAGTCAGTAAAAACCTCAGCTCTTCCTTGATCGACGGTGCACAGAGAGTTATAGCTCATTCAGTAAATGATCTACTGGGTAGGTATTTATGGATTATTATACAGAATATTATTGAGGATAAGCCTGGTTAAAAACAAATACAGAAAAGAGTAAATGGCCCAGGCAGGCTTTTAGGAAAGCCATCATTTGTAATATTTTTCAGGCCCCCCCCAAAAAAAAATTCAGAAATTTCACAGCATGGCTAATGTGCTATAGCCGGACTCTGCATTTTAGAAGTGCATAAATCCACACAAATTGCTGTAATAAGGATCCATCCCATAGCCCTTTTGGCATAAATGCACATCTGGTCTCTGTTTGTAATGAAATCAATTCAAAGCCCCACAGTGCATTAATACTAAAAATGTTCAACATATTGCAACTGAATAAGCCCAAATTTGAGTCTGAAGATGTCATTACATGTGTGTACTTTTAGCACTGATAAATGACTAGGTTACACGACATTCAGCAAGCTGCTCAAGATTCAAGAGGTAGAACTGTCGGTACTATTGTATTATTTCCAAGGGAAAAAATCCATATGCATGTAAGCTTCATTTTCTTTCTTATTGAAGTATGATAGAAATGTGATTAACAATAAACTAATTATAAATAATAATGCCTGGCTTAGGGTATGGATCTACAATTTAAAAACAACAGAATCCTGAAATTAGCACATCATGCATCAAAGATTGTTCTTTTTTTTAATTTTAAATTCTATTAAAATAAAACTCTATTAAAATGTGCTGTCACACATTAATTTTTAAAGTATCCTATTTGCTTTTCAGTACAAGTAATCAACAAGAAAGAGACAGAGCCTGCTAAGCATCCCTTATGGGCTTCATATTTACCTTTTGTGTTATGTGGTTGACCCAAGGAGAAGAGCAGTTGCTGAGATCTGGTCCTTGGGGATCCCATATTCCATCAGGAGCAAGACATAGGTAAGTTGATACACCTACAGACAGAAAGAGACACTCCTGTTTCAAACACTCACATCATATTTCTTCAAGTCACATCATGTCTTTGCTATCATACATATATATACAGATCTACAGATTAGATAATTGTATTGAGATAGTATCTATTAAACTCCAGAGACAATGCTTTGAAAGCAAGTGGAACTGAACAAATGTTGAACAATAAATTAAAAGAATTCAGCATTTTTAAGAGTCCGTTGACAACTATCATGGGTGTGGGGAAGAATTTCATGAGTAAAGACCATGGCGAGCTTGTCTGAGTGGACATTGTGTTCTGTTTGTAGGGGTAAGATAATATTAGCAAAGCAGGCCTTCAGGAAAACTAGGTGGGAAAGGCCATCTCTAGTAGAGGAAATATGTCACCTTTGGGAGACATCAAGACTTTTGAATGGGGATTAGGCTGGTTGAAGGAGTTTTATTTAATGAACCTGGAAAAGCATGTGTTATGGAACCTAAAATTACGTATCTACACAGATAAAGGAATCAAGGGAATAATGTCCAAAACTTGCCCATAAGAACACATGTATGTATACTAATTGTATATTATATATATTTGATGAATAATGCAAATGTTTGTTGATGTGTGAAGTGTTATGAAGTTCAATGAAAATGACAAGAAAAGTAGAGTATTTGTTTTAAAATGACAGATATGACTGCACCTAGGTGTATTATAAATATGACAGAAATAAAATAAGTTCAGGGACATCTATTTCTTAATTATCTCCTGGAAGAAGCAGGAGAGATTGTTGTTAGATGGATAATTCTGGGTAGGAGATGTCACCCAGCAGAAGGCTCATGACCATGTCAGGTACCTTTGGCTACCAGGGAACAATGACATAAAAGATACTCATGTTTTCTCCTTTTATAAATGCAAGATATGACCAATGATCATCAGGTTATCTAGACACCTGCACACCCTAGTTTCTGCTACTAATATCTACTCACTTGAGAAACACAAGACAAACTGAAAGCAATTCAAGGACAGTGCAGAGATGTTCCAGGGAGGATGTGGCTCTGTAGAGCATCATCTGACTCCAAGCACTAACACCGAAGGAAAACTATTAATCAAAAGCATTTCTATTAAATTCTCACCTGTGACTTCTGCAGGTTCTCTTATCAAATGCTGATAATGAAGCATTCATTTGGTTGAGTTCATAACATAATCAAATGTTAATGCATAAAATGGATAGTAACAACAAAAAGAGAACAAAGACGGGAAGTAAGAGGAGTGGAGAAAACAGGAAAAGAGAAACAAAGGAAAAAAACCAAACAGTGTGAAAGACAGCAAGCAAAATCAAGGAAGCCCTGGGCTAGGCTAGCTGGGGCAGGCTTACCTATGGTTCCTGCTGGGCATGGCTGCTTTGCTACTTGCCCCTGTCGGGTCTTAAACCACATGATTTCTCGGGCTTCCACAGCCTCACAGCTCTCTTCCATAGCTGGGATTTGGGAGGCTGCAGAGGGCAGGTGTGTGGTAATGTCATCCAGCACCTCTACTGCTGGGGACGGCGTGCTGGTACTGCGGTTTCTTCTGCCGGGCAAGGATGGGGTGGTACTCCTCCCTATGTTCCAGGTTGTGGTCCGGAGGGTGGTGCTGGTGGTTGTGCTGCCTATACCCAGGGGTCCTGTGGTAGACATCCCTGAAACACAATTGGAAAACAAAAAAAACAAAAAACAAAAGAAACCACCTACATTGCCTGCTCACAATATGACCTCAGGACATCCCAAGATCAGAAACCAATGACCTCATTTGCATTTTAGTCATGGCAAAAACTTGCCAGTACCAAGTATCAGAGTGCCACTAGAGTAATAAACCAACTATTTGACTTCTGCCAAGCATGCGCTTTTAAGGTGTTTTTATTTTATTTTATTTTATTTTATTTTATTTTATTTTATTTTATTTTATTTTATTTTA